ATGACTGTGCATTGTGGCCTCCTGGGGGCGCACCGTTCGGCGGAGGTCACGTTCCGTCTCCTTGAAAGGGCCGTCTGGTGGCCAGGAATGGAACCAGACGTTAAGTTGTGGGTGTCCAAATGCCTGGCGTGTGTTAAGGGCAGGGCCCGAGCCACGAAGGTCGAAGCGAAACCTGTCAAATGTCTCGCGGAAGCGTGTTGGCAGGAAGTTTCCGTCGACTGCGAGGGTCCTAATCGGGAGGACCGCGATGGCTTCCGATACAGTATTACGTACTTTGATTGCCTTAGCCACGCAGTGCTTCTGGAACCCATGAAGACACTTACGCATACGGATGTGCGTAGGGCATTTCTGCGGTGCGTGCTGAGATCACGCACCCTGCCCCGCCTCATCCGATCTGATCGAGGCACTGAGTTCAAGAATGCCATGATGCTGGAGTTGTGCTCCATGCTTGGGACAACTCAGCAGTTCAGTATGGCTCTCAGGCCTTGTGAGATGGGGTCCAACGAGAGGGTCCACCAAGAGGTCCAGAAGGTTCTGGGTAACCTCATCCGGCATATCGGCGGCTCCATGGAGAACTGGAGCGAATGGCTCATGGTCGCCGAGTATGTGTTGGATAATACCCCGGGGGCGCATGGGTACACCCCCAGGGACCTGGAACGGTCCTGGAGCCTCGCCTTGCCGTTGGAGAAGGACGTTCTCCGCGAGGCCCTCCAATTCGAGCCCATCACGGACTGGGCCCGTTCCCAGTTCAAGCAGTTTTCCGACTTGGCGGCCGCTGTGCGGCGCCATTGGGACGCGAGCAGTGAGGCGCGTGCCCGACTTGCTAATCGGTCGCGTCGCACAGTTGAGCTCCGCGTGGGGGACAGAGTTGTCTGGAATTCCCCCAAGCCCCGGCCAGAGGGGGCGGGGCGTGTCCCTTGGAAGCCTGGTCTGACCGGCCCTTGGAGGATAGTGGCGGTTAAAGGCCATAGGCTGCAACTCGAACTTGTTCCTGGTGGCCCTGGTGAGGCGCCAGGCCGGCAATGTGAAGCCCACGCGGAGGATGTAGTGCTCGTGCCGGAAGATGCGGAGGTGCCCGAGAAGAGGGACCCCATAGAGTTTTTCGACGAGCCAGAGCATCAGCCGCCTTCATTGGGTCAGCAAGCGGCCGGTGAAGCTAAGCAGGTCGAGTTTACTGTCAAGCGCCGGGGCCGCAACTTCGTGTTGCGTATTGGTGACCATGTTGCGTACCATGGCGCCCGAGTGGGCCCTAAAACCTGTCGCCTAGGCAAGGTCACGCAAGTGGACGAAGCCAGGGCACAGGTGGGCGTCCACCGGTACATCCCCGACGCCTCAGGACTCAGAGTCCGGTGGCACCTTGCGTTTTTGGACGAAGGCGGTTCTCTGACCCGCGAAGGGACGAGACAGGCCATAGAGTCCATCACCGTGAAGGAGATTATCTCCAAGGTGGATCTTAGTAGGGATGGGGTTCTCGCTGCGTCTTCTGCCCGGAAGCTCGATAAGGCCGGTTACTCCTTGCAAGAGTCCGTGCCGGACCGAGTGGGTGTGGCAGCTTCCCCGATTGACGTCCCTGCTGCGTTGAAGGAGCTCCTTGCTGAGGCTCCCGCGCCCTCCTTGATCGTCGGTAGAGGTAGCTCCTGTGCCGCGGTCCAGGGGTGGATCAGAGATCACCTAGAGGGTATGGACGTGGACCTTGTCGAAGTAGCGGTGTCGGAGCACTCGCTTACTCAGGTCAGTAAGGCAGGAGGCCTGCGTAGCCCTCCTGCTGCGGTTCAAGGAGCCAGCTCCTACGGGATCCGCTGGGACTTCTCCTCAGAGGAGGACCGGCAAGCCCTGAGCCTTCTGGTCGATACGCTCGACCCCAAGTGCCTCGTTGTGGGCCTATCCGGTAAGGGTATCCCCAAGGAGTTCCTCTCCCTGGTCAGTAGGTGGGGAGCAATGGTGGCCGAGAAGGGGCGCCAGATGCTTGTTACTATCTCAGATCAGGAAGGACTTTGGGAGCCTTGGGAGGCCCAGGGGTGGGCTCCCGTGTTTGGGACGCTTTCGGAACCGAAGTTCCCTTGGGCTTTCGGCCGAGCTGATCGATGTCAGCTCTTGGGATCAGTTCCTAGGGGTTCTAAGCATTCGGAAGGAGCGCTGATCTGTCTTTCCAACTTCAAGATGGATTCGGTTTGCGTTCGCTGTGCAAAGCCTGACGCTTTGGGCAGGGTAGCCCATCAGCACGCGAAGGCCCGGACCTCTTCGAGGGTGCTCGCTCCGGCCTTGTGCCGTTGCCTGGCGGATGCTGGTCTGAGGGGCGACCAGCCCCCTTGCTACGACAGCATTTGCTCAGTGAGCGGCCAGCCGCCGGCTGAGCCTGCGAAGCCTTCCGCTCCGGAGGTACCGTTGCCGGACGTTAAGTCTGGCGAGGACCTCTCCCCTCAAGAGAGAGCGAAGATGGAGGCTGAAGTTCTGGAGTTCTCCAGGAAGATGGATGCTCACTGGCGGTCGAAGGCAGACGCCAAGGATTGGGATGGTGTCTTCGCGGACCTGGAGGTCTATGCGTTGGCAGGCCAGGCTGTGGCTGCCGATCCCCGCCGTACGCCAGAGTATAAGGCGCAGGTCATTGAAGGCCTCAGGTTGGGCCCTACGGAGAACCGTCCGGGGCTCACCGAGGCTGATCTCGCAGCCATTAAGGAGACGGTGGGCCGGAAGGCCGCTGCATTCTGGGTCGAAGGTACGGCGCGTACCACGGTCCGGAAGTTTGCGCACGACTGCGTCCCTACGGGGCCTCCGGTCAGCTCTCAGCCCCATGCGCTCCGCGGGGAAGCGGCGCAGTGGGTTGATGACCGGCTTGAGGAGGAGGTCCAGAGAGGGCAGCTTGTGCGAGGCCCTTCGGCCTGGGGTTCGGCCCCTTTCCCTACGAAGGAGATGCCTTCCCACAAGCGGGCGAGGAAACGCCGCTTGGTGGTAGATTACCGCAGGGTAAACGCCAGGGTGAAGAGATCCACTTACTACTGCCGGCGGAGCACGGATGTGCTCGCTGCAGCGGTAGGATCAGTCTGGTATAGCTTCGTTGATGCGGTTTCCGGGTTCAATCAGATCCGCAACACGAAGCGTGCCAGGGAGGTTCTTGCCATTGTTGCGCGTAGCGGTAAGTACCTCCCTATTGGGCTTACCTTCGGGCCTGTCAATGGTCCCGACGATTTTAACTACGTCGTGGACCGCGCGTATGCGCCGGGTCGCAATCGAAGGCTTAGGTTCACTAAGGAATGGGTGGCCTATGTCGACGACCTGACGGTTCGTACAGGTAGGGTCGTTGACGGCCGTTTCCTCACGGATGCGGAGGCAGAGGAGGAGATAAGGACGGCGTGCCGGAAGGGCAGCCGCTCCGCGCCTCAGACCGCCGCTTCCGCCCTTGAAGCCTTAGGCGCTCGAGGCCGCGACGGCTCGAGCTCCAGTCCGCCTGACGCGGACCGGAAGGTCGCGCCTAAAGCAAAAGCAAAACACGATGAATCCCTAACGGACACTAACCACCCCACAAGAGCCCTATACCCTAACTCGCTTGTGTTCGTCTTGACCGCTTGTGTCTTGACCGCGGGGTCTAGGTTAGGGTTCGGGGTCTTAGTGTGCCGCGTCGGGGGGGTTCGGGGGGGAACGTGGGGGGCAGCTCGGACGCAGGCCTGTACGCCCGTGGGTCGCTACCTCCTTTCTATGCTACTACTCGTTGCGTGCGTGCTGCAGCAAGGGTGTAGTGAGGTAGTCCAGGGTGTAGGTCGTGCTGAGTGTGAGCCCTACCCCCTCTCTCTGTGCAGCCCCCTTGAACCCCCTGCCTTTCAGGACATGGCCGCGCAGCGTGGGCTCAAGACGAGTAGCCCAGTAGCTTGCGACGGGCCGCGCGGGCCCTTGCCATCGGCTTCTTGCGCCTCGCGGTGTGCTTTGGCACACGTGGGCCGGGAGGTCGCGTGTACCCCTCTTTCCTTCGCTGCCGGTGGGTCCTCCGTGGACCGGCTGGTCGCGGAGCCACTCCCACTGTTTCCTCCGTGTGCCGGGCCCCTCGTGGGCCAGGGAGCCGCGAGGGGCGCCATGGGAGGTGGCCGCAGACGCGGGAACGAAGGGAAAGGCGGTCGTGATAGCAACTCACGATGGCAGCCGTGGGTGTGGCTAGAGAACCCCGCGGTTTGCCAGAGGGCGCATACGCAAGCCCTCCGCCACGGCAAATTCGGCCTGCAGGGCCATCTCGGCGAAGGGGGCTGGATTAGCGTATCCGCCTTAGCCGAGAAGCTCCAGATCACTTCGTCCGCGATCGAGGCAGGTGCGGCGAGTGATCTGAAAAACGCGGCTGGCGGTCGGGAGAAGCAGCGGCTGGAGCTGGTCGATGGCCGGATCCGGGCTCTCCAGGGACACGGCCGTGGGTCAGGATTGACCGCGGCCACCGTGTATGGAGACGGCCTCGATGAGGCCGGCATGAGGGAGCTCTCGGTAGAGTACGGAGGCTCCACCCTCTGTCATGGCACAGAGGTGTTTCATGCGCGGCGGATCGGCCGCGACGGCCTCCCCCGCGCCTGACTGTCCATTGGGTGATCGGGCCCGGGTACCCAAGACAGCGGGACAGTACGTCGGGCTTTAGAAAGAACTCGACCTGTCTTGTGGTCTCGAACCTCGAGCTCCTAAGGGCTTCCGGGTTGCCCGTCTGGAGAGGGACAGACGGATGTGTTCTGACAGGGCGTGTCCCTCCAGAATGCATCCTCCGAATCCTCACGGTGCAACCCGGCTGTGAAGTCTTCGACCTCTCGCTTGCAGAGCGTCAGGGTAACACCCTGCGGTGGGTCGATGATGCGGAGCCCGGGAGCGGAGGCCGCAGAGAGCAGTCGGCGCCGCCTGGCGGAGCCGGCCCGGTCAACTACTATATCGGGGACGAGGACTCGTCTTCCGAGCTGGAAGTTGAGGTGCGGGCCAAGAGCTCGGCAATGCCGGCGGGACCCCCGCCTGGACCACCTAAGGAGGGTGGTTCCCGTGGGATGCCCTCTGCGCTGCATCGGTCCAGGACGGTCGATGATAGGCCGCCGCCAGGGCGGGAAGGCAAACTAAAGCCTACCCCCAAGGTGGCCCCAGAGGGAGCGCCTTAGGCAGGGGAACAGGAGCGGGGAAGATCACACCGCCCCCCTCAAAAGGTGCCTCCCGAAGCACCGCCTGCGGACACGATCCGCTACAAGACGCCGCCCAGGGCCCGGGATGAGCTGCCTGAGGATCCTCAGGCCGCGCCCGGTGACCCTGAGGGTGCCGGTGCAGCGCCTAGGGATCAGCCGATGGAGGCGGACCGTACGCTTACTCCAGCGGATTTGTTCCACCCGAAGAACTTCAGCAAGAAGGCGAACCCGAAGCCGCCGCCGAAGAGGCCAGCCGTTCCGGAAGGAATGGTCACGGTGAAGCCTAGCCCGACGCCGAAAGGGGTCAGGCCTCCACCGCCGTTCCTGATCATGGAAACCGAGAGGGCCGAGGAGTTCTTGAGCACCAGGCCTGGATGGTTGCTGGGTGGGCCGGCTGAGCCGCCCATCGCGCGATCTCCTCCTCCGCCACCTGCTGCGAGGAACCGGTCGGAAAGGCCCTTGCCTCATGGAGGGCTGGGGCACGGGCCTTACCAAGGCCCTATCCGGCCTAAGCTTGGTGGGCCTCCGCTCAAGGCCGCTCCGAAGGGGGCCGTTCCTAGTGCTGAAGCCCCTTCTGCGAGCTCGGCCTCCACGGGAGGCCCAGAGGGCTCCCGAGAAGGAGGGACGGCCGTCCCAGAGGAGACCGAGGAGGAACGGGCCAAGACTGAGGCCATCCTCCGCGGGATCGACGATTTCATGGCATCCGTGGAGCGTCGGTCGGCAAGCCAAGAACGGCCCGCTCCGAAGTCTCCTGAGCGGCACACCTTTGTGCCTTTCAGTGTGGATCCGATTCCCGAGGAGGCTGCAGTGCCTGGGGAATTCGTCGATCTCGGGGACACCC